GTGTGTGTGTGTGTGTGTGTGTGTGTGTGTGTGTGTGTGTGTGTGTGTGTGTTGAGACAGAGTCTCAGTCTGTCCTCAAGGCTGGCATGGGGTGGCGTGATGTCAGCTCACTGAAACCTCCGCCTCCCGGGTTCCAGTGATTCTCCTGCCTCAGCCTCCTGGGTTGCTGGAACTACAGGCGCTGGACACCACGCCTGGCTAATTTTTTTGCGGTTTTAGTAGAGACGGGGTTTCATCATGTTGATCAGGCTGGTATCAAATTCCTGACCTCAGATGATCCACCTGCCTCAGCCTCCCAAAGTGCTGGGATTACGGGCATGAGCCACTGCGCCCAGCTGTGTGTTTTTTCAATTGACATATTTGTATATATTTACTGGGTACAGTGTGATCTTTTGATATATGTATGCATTGTGGAATGATTATATCAAGCAATGAAAATATCCAGCCGGGCGCAGTTGCTCATGCCTGTAATCCCAGCACTTTGGGAGGGTGAGGTGGGCGGATCATGAGGTCAAGACATTGAGACCAGCCTGGCCAATATGGTGAAAACCTATCTCTACTAAAACTACAAAAATTAATTGGGCGTGGGGGTGTGCACCTGTAGTTCCAGCTACTCAGGAGGCTGAAGTAGGAGAATCACTTGAACCCAGGAGGTGGAGGTTGCAGTAAGCCAAGATGGCGCCACTGCACTCCAGCCTGGTGACAAAGTGAGATTCCATCTCAAAAAAAAAAAAAGAAAAGAAAAGAAAATATGCATCACCTCACATACTTACCATTTTTTTTTTTAGTGAGAAAATCTACTGTTACTCTTTTAGTAATTTTGAAATGTGCAATACATTATTATCAACTATGATTACCATGCTGTGCAATAAATCTTGAAAACATATTCCTCCTAACTGAAACTTTGTACCTTTTGACCAACATCTCCCAGGTGATCATTTTTGACTTGCAAATTACCTATTCCATTTCAATGAAAGGGAAAGCAACACTAGTATCTTCAAAAATTGAAAAGCAAACTGTGCATAAAAAAAAAAAGAATGGGCAGGGCACGGTGGCTCATGCCTATAATCCCAGCACTTTGGGAGGCCAAGGCGGGTGGATCACGAGGTCAAGAGATCGAGACCATCCTGGTCAACAAGGTGAAACCCCGTCTCTACTAAAAATACAAAAATTAGCTGGGCATGATGGTGCGTGCCTGTAATCCCAGCTACTCGGGAGCCTGAGGCAGGAGAATTGCTTGAACCCAGGAGGCGGAGGTTGCGGTGATCTGAGATCGTGCCATTGCACTCCAGTCTGGGCAACAACAGCGAAACTCCGTCTCAAAAAGAAAAAAGAAAGATCCTTTTGTCCCCATATTTCAGTATTACGAGGTCATGATGTTGGATAAATATTCTGAGAGAAATTTGTGTTTTATTGCACACAAAAGAAAACTGGACACAATAATATAGGATATAAAATTAAGTTAAGAATTGGCCTTTAATGATTGTTTGTAGCTTGTGATGTGGTTAAATTTTGATGTCATTTGGTCTTGTCCTTATATGTACATTGGCTGCATGAAAATCAAATTTATAAACACTTGTATGTAATTCAGTGTAATCCATTTAAGACAGGTCACTGGAGATTTGGCCTTTCACCCACTTTCCCCCACAGCACAAATAACTCTTCCCTGAATTGTTGGATATACCATTTTAGTGATCAAGGGAGGACCCCTGGAACACAACTACCGATTGAAGCAGTTCCATTTTCACTGGGGAGCCATCGATGCCTGGGGCTCCGAGCATACTGTGGACAGCAAATGCTTCCCAGCAGAGGTATGTTGAGAAGGTCAGGAACAGTGACAACGGTAGAGAAGTGGGGATAATTCTGAAGTTGTAGTTTTAAGAAATTATCAGAAAGAATCAGGTGATTCCTATAAATGCAAAATAGCTTTCTCAAGTAATTTTGATCATTCTCAGCTAAGACATGTAAAAATGTTAACTTCTCTCATCTCAAATAATATAGCTGAAATGAACCTTAGGACTCTGAAACTGAATTCTTCTGGAATTCGAAGGTGGACTCAAATAGTAGCCCAAAGGAATAACCTAGGGAATGTTTCGGAGCCACAGGTTGAATTAATGCAAGTTTGCGATGGTAGGAGCCTAAATGAAGGCTGTGGCAATAGAAGTAGAAAAAAAGATCCAGATTTATCAAGCATTTCTGAAATTAAAGCAACAGTACTTTAGGTAGGGTTCTCTTCAGGATAGGAGAAGGCAAAATTAACCATGACTTTGTGGTGTCTCACTTGGGAGGCTGGGTGATAATGCATTCATAACTGATGGATGAGGAATGATTTGTAGGGAAATAAAGGGAGATTTTAAGGAAATAGAATTTCTTCTTACAACTTTTTTCCTAATTCAGTTGTAAGTGTTATGTTAAAAATAAAAGCACATTTTAAAATTTATTTTATATGTATTTTGTTTTGTTTTGTGAGACAGGGTCTCACTGTGTCACCCAGGCTGGAGTGCAGTGGCACAATCACAGCTCACTACAGCCTCTATCTTAAGCAATCCTTCCATCTCAGCCTCCCAAGTAGCTGAGACTACAGGCAGGCACCACCATGCCCTGCTAATTTTTAAATTTTTTTTTAGAGAAACAGGGTTTCACTATGTTGTCCAGGCTGGTCTCAAACTCCTGGGTTCAAGTGATTCTCCCACCTCGGCCTCCCAAAATTCTGAGATTACAGGTGTGAGCCACCACACCTAGCCTAAAAGTACATTTTATTTTATTTTTATTTATTTATTTATTGAGACAGTCTTGCTCTGTCACCAGGCTGGAGTGCAGTGGTATGATCTCGGCTCACTGCAACCTCCGCCTTCTGGGTTCAAGCAGTTCTTCTGCCTCAGCCTCCCAAGTAGCTGGGACTACAGGTGTGCACCACCATGCCCAGCTCATTTTTGTGTTTTTAGTAGAGACGGGGTTTCACCCTGTTGGCCAGGATGGTCTCGATCTCTTGACCTTGTGATCTGCCTGCCTTTGTCCACCAAAGTGCTAGGATTACAGGCGTGAGCCACAGTGCCCAGCCAAAGCACATTTTAAATGGTTATTCCTTGAAGAAGAAATTTGTCTTTAACTCCTGCATAATTTCCATAGGGAGGATCTGTTTCTCTCAATATAAACATATTCTCTGCTGTAGATGCAAGTGGATTTTGAATATTGGTATTTCATGCAAATCAAGATGGAACCGGACAAATGTTGATTGCTCACTGAAGTGTCACTTTGCTATAAGAATTGTCTATTTTTCTCCCCAAATAAATCCCTTTATTCTAAAATAAAATTAATTGCTGCTCTTGCCTAAATTTCTCCCTGATCTTTGTTTCTATCTCATTTTGCACCAGATTGTCATATGCTTTTCTTGGTGGCTTTACTTTGGGTGAGGAAACATGTTTAAATGTCATAGGTTGACTGAAGCTCTGGGTTTATTCTAGAGAGAGCCTGTGTAGTCACGTGTTAACCCTCTTTTCATGGTGTTTCAGCTGCACTTAGTTCATTGGAATGCAGTCAAATTTGAAAACTTTGAGGATGCAGCACTGGAAGAAAATGGTTTGGCTGTGATAGGAGTATTTTTAAAGGTAAAAAAATCTCACCAACTTTAAATGATGTGCTGTATTCTAGAATGAAAAGATGGAACATTATAATATTGTTATATACTTTAAGAATATTGGGATCCATACACTGGTAAGATAAATAGTACTTGAAATACAGGATTGTTAAGAATATGTCTTAGGTCCAGGCATGGTGGCTCATGCCTGTAATCCCAGCACATTGGAAGGCCAAGGAGGGCAGATCATTTGAGGTCAGGAATTCGAGACCAGCCGGGCCAAAGTGGAGAAACCCTGTTTCTACTAAAAATACAAAAATTATCTGGCCATAGTGGTGCACACCTGTAATCCCAGCTACTCGAGAGGCTGAGGCAGGAGGATTGCTTGAGCCTCGCAGGCGGAGGCTGCAGTGAGCCAAGATTGTGCCACTGCACTCCAACCTGGGTGACATAGCAAGACTCCATTCCCCCAACCAAAAGAATATAATTTAAATGGTATAAAAATGCACAGTCCAACAGAGTGGTCACAATTCACATGTGGCAACTGAGCACTTGAAATGTGTCTAACTGCAATTGTGGAACTATTTTTTATTTCATTTTAATTTTAATTTCAATTTAAGAACTGATACGTAAACGAAGCAGGGGGCACCTTTCTCTGCAGGCATGCTGACCTTGTCAGCAAACAGCCTGCTCATTTATTCTGTAATTTAATTCAGTGAGGTTTATAAAATTATAAATTACAAGTTTAAGTGTAGTTTCAGTCATGCAGTTTGTTTTTATGTAATCACCAGGTGGTTAATTTTAATTCACATTCTGTCACAGTTTCTACAGTGAGATGTCCATTGTTTGTAATATTTTCTTATTTGTTTTCCTTAGCTAGGCAAACATCATAAAGAGCTACAGAAATTAGTGGATACTTTGCCATCAATTAAGCACAAGGTACTATTTCTTTTCCTTAATTACTTGAAATATACTTTATGTTTCAATCTCAGAGCAGAGACATTCCCAAGGCACTTAAATTGGGAAGTTTAATTAAGTGAACTGTATTCAGCCTTAGAAGAAAACTTGCCATTTATGATTCCAGGGGACAAAAGTAGTAATTCTGTGGGTAGGCAGTGAGCTTTCTGGTTTTGCTGCAGTGCTGCTGAGGACTTGGGGCCTCAGGGGCATATGGCTGTCCCCTTCTGTGTTCCCGACACCGGCTCCTTCTAAGTCCTTGTGAACACACTCAGAGCAGTCTTCTTTTCTCTAGCTGCCATCCCACAGGCAGGGAGCAGAGAGCAGTTCTACAGAAACTTGCCTTGTCTAGCTGGAAAGAGCAGTAATCCACATCCTTCAGGTCGGATGCCTTTGTCTAGTCCCAAGATTAATTCTTCAATGTTCAGGTTTTCAAAGGGCCGCTCTCTGGAGGCCCATATATTCTCTCCCTCTCATCCCCCACTGTATCCCTATGGTCCCCACCTCTTTCCCTTTCCTTTCCTCTCTATTTCCCTCTTTTTCTCTCTCTTGTCTTTTAGTTCAGGATTCTGGCTCCTCCTGATCTGCATTTCTTCTTAAAAGGACAATTCTCAGTTAGCCTCTCTTGAAAATGCAAAGCCTCCTTCTTTATGCACTGGCCACTGTCTAAAACCTCCTAAGAAAATTCAGAGGAGACTACCTGCTGGATCCTCACCAGAATTGAGAGATCAGATGGTTTTGGCTGTTTTCCCACTGGAGAATTTAAAAAATACACAGTTAATTGCAGAAACAAAGCCTGGGCATGATTCCATCCTAAGCAGCAATGCTTCAGGAAGCTGCCCAGTGGGCCTGGAGCTCCTCTGGACCACTGCTGATCCCCAGATACTCCCTGAGAACCATCACCTGTTGTCTGATTCCTGAGTGGTATTCACCACTAAATAATGACTTAGTTATCTCTTCCTTGGCCAGGACACCCTTGTGGAATTTGGATCATTTGACCCTTCCTGCCTGATGCCTACCTGCCCAGATTACTGGACCTACTCAGGGTCTCTGACTACTCCACCCCTCTCTGAGTCTGTCACCTGGATCATTAAGAAGCAGCCAGTAGAGGTTGATCATGATCAGGTATGTTCTCTCTACAATTTCAATCTAAGGAAATCTTAGCCCATTTAAAATGAGGCTGGGTTCAGACTGTGGCATCAGTTTTAACATCTTGTAATGCTTATACATTTTTATTAAAGTGTACCAATATCTTGTCTCAGTTTGGATATGAATTTGGGGATGTTTCAAATTGACTAGAGAGAAGAGTTAAAACACAGACGAACATAAGCTTTTTACATCTATATTTGACAATTACATATGTCTTCTTATGACCTTTGTATTTTATATATAAATATTGAACTCTGTACAAAATCAAGACTCTTTTAAAGGGAAGAATGAAGGCTGGAAATAAATGTGTTCAAAACTCTTTAAAATCCTTAAGGGAGTTCTACTGTAGAATCTCAGGATAAATATAGAATCCAACAATGTTTGTCCAGAAACTTTAATTTAAGTCAGTTTTGTGAACTTGTAGTTACTATGCAAATACTCAAAATCCTGTATAATGTATAATATAGCTAAACTACAATAATATTTGCTCATACTTGCCTTATGGGATTTTTATGGATTACAAAGCATTTTCATAAGAACAAAAGCTTCCAAATTCTTTTTATGAAGCCAGCTGATACCAACACGCACCAAAGATTGGACTCCCATCTGAATAATATATATTAAAAAAAGCTAAAAAGAAAATATTAGAAACAGAATCCAGCAGTACATCAGAAGAAATATATACTTTGTCCAAGTAGCTTTTACTCCAGTAATACAAGAATGGTTCATTTTTAAGAATGATATTAATATAATTCATTATATCAGTGGATCTAAATAGAAAAATCATATTACCATTTCCAGGGAAGTTAAAAAGACATTTGTAAAAATTACCATTCAGTTTTTGAAAATTTTTAATAAAACAGAGCTGAATAGAGATTTTCCTATCTTAATAAAAGAGATTGATCTCAGTTCAAAAGTAAATAGTAGGTTTTGTATGGAAAGGATTATTACCATATTAAGTTTTATATTAAATTACATTCTGGAAGTAGCCAGTACAGTTAGACCAGAAAATAAAAAGTAAATTAGAGAAACAATAAAAAACTACTATAAAAATCAGAGATAATTCAGTAATCAGTGGAGTACAATATTAATTTCAACAAGGAAAGTTAATAAAAAAAAGTAAAATGTTCCTGGAGGATACAAAGAAGTCTTGAATTAATAAAGTTAACACATTACAGGATCAAAAGACATCATAAAGACACCTTTTTTGTCATAAATGACAACCTAATTTGTCATTCTCCATGAACTGTTTATTCACCATAAATTTAATGTGTTTCCAATAAATATATCAATAGGATTTTAAAATCAATATGCTATTTCTAAACTCATGAATAAAGACAAACACATAAATAACCAGGGAAAATCCTAGAAAAGGAAATAAGGGATGATTAGACTCACAAGATTATAAAGCCTCAATAATTAAATAGCATGTTACTGGCACATGGATAAAGAGATCAATCAAGGGAAGTATATTAGTCAGAGTTCTTCAGAGAAACAGAACCAATAAGATAGATATTGTATTAGTCTGTTTTCACACTGCTACAAAAAACTACCTGAAACTGGGTAATTTATGAAGAAAGGAAGTTTAATTGACTTGTAGTTCCACAGGCTTAACAGGAAGCATGACTGGAAGGCCTCAGGAAACTTAAAATCATGGCAAAAGGCAAAAGAGAAGCAAGGACCTTCTTCACATGGTGGCAGGACAGAGAGGGAGAGATGGGGGAAGTGCCACACACTTTTAAACCATCAGATCTTGTGAGAACTTTCACTATCACAAGAATAGTAAGGAGGAAGTGCACCCCCACAATCCAATCACCTCCCACCAGGCCCCTCCACTGACATGGGGTGGAGGGGATTACAATTTGACATGAGATTTGGGTAGGGACACAGGGCCAAACCATACCAGATATAGATAAAGATAAATTAAAAAAAAGAAAGAAAGAAAAAGTTAAAGTTAGATAACCCTAAAAAGGTTAAATAACCCTAACCCTATAAAGATAAATAAAGGAAAAGTTAGATAAAGATAAAGTTTTATCATAAGGTATTGGCCATGTGATTATGGAGACTAAGAAGTCTTACAATCTGCCATCTGCAAGCTGGAGACCCAGGAAAGACAGTGGTGTAGTTCAAAGGCCTGAGAGCTGGAGAGCTGATAATGTAGATTTCTATCTTGGTCTGAAAGCCTGAGAACCAGGATCTCCAAAGGTAGGAGATGATTGATGTTCCAGCTCAAGTATTCAGAGCAAATTCAACCTTCTTCTGCCTTTTTATTCTATTCAGATCCTCAGTGTATTAGATGATTCCCATCCACTTTGTGGAGGGCCATTTACTTTACTCAGTCCACCTATTCAAATCCTAATCTCCTCCAGAAACACCTTCATAGACATACATAGACCTAGCATTTAACCTGTCTGAGTATCCTATGGCCCAATCAAGTTGACACATAAAATTAACCATCACAGGAAGAAAATAATAATTTTAGAAATATGTCCAAATAAATTTGATAAATATAGCATCTCAACTCAGTAGGCAGGAAAGTTAGAGTATTCAGTAAATGCTGTTGAAGAAAAATTGAGCAGACATTTCGGGATAAAAATTGGATCCACCATTCAGACCTTATACAAGAATACATTCCAGATATATTATATGTAAAAACTATCACTATAAAAGTACTAGGATAAGCACAGGAAAATCCTTTTATACCTGCAAATGTGTAGGCTTTGTGGCCTATACATTTAGTCTGTTTCTATTCTTTGGATTAAAAAATTGACACATTTCCTCGACTTATATTCCTTTTAGAAAAACAAATGAACGTAACATTGAAAAATAAATAAAGTAAATACATCACAGGGTCAGTGGCCCATGTGAGGATTTTGTACATAAAATTTCAACAAAACTTTAAAATTTATTTTTCAATTATATAATTTCAAATTTTATTTTTTATTTTCTGGTGTAACTGTATTGGCTATTTCCAGAATGTAATTTAATATGAAACTTATGGTAACAGAAAATTTAGTAAGGAAAACAGTGCTACCTGTCATCTATAATATTATCCTATTGCCTATAATTTTACCACTATCATTGTTTGGGGAAATCCTTCTGGTCTCCTGTCTATCCAGATGCACATGAATCCTTCTGGTCATGCACACACACACACACACACACAGTTTTGTATGAAAATGGAATCATTCAGTACATACCATTTTGCTGCTCTTTTCACTCAGTGATGCACTGAATATTTTATAGCGAATGAACATCTTCAGTATTATTTTTAAGGACTATATACTAGTTCATTTCATAGATCAGATGTCATTTATCTTTGATATTTAAGCTATTTCTAATCTTCTGCAATTAGCTGAATAAAAAGAAACTACTTGTATAGCTTCCTAATTAGTGAGAGCTTATGTGTAATTTGCAAGTACAGCCACTGTGTGATACCTGCATTGCTTGCTTTCAGTCCTAGTTCAGCTTCTTCAGCTCTACTTGGCCTGAAGTCTTTGTTGCAAATGACCCTTCACTAGCTTGTCTACTGTGCCCCAGGCTGTATTCTCAGTTGTTAACCCCCCCCCCCCGCTACCCTCGCCCCCCAGTTTCACTTTTGTTTCCTATCCTGGAGTCCAATGGTGTGACTCAGTAGCTGGGATTACAGTCATGCACCACCATGCCCAGCTAATTTTGTATTTTTAGTAGAGACAGGTTTCACTATGTTGGTCAGGCTGGTCTCAAACTCCTGACCTCAGGTGATCCGCCCACCTCGGCCTCCCAAAGTGCTGGGATTACAGGCGTGAGCCACTACGCCTGGCGTAAGTAAAATATTTCATAACAATTGGGTCTGAAACCAAGGGACTACTGGTTGATACTGCTGTCATATCACAGAACAAGCCATTGATATTCTGGGTTGCTCCTTTTGCATTGAGCTATACTGTTTGATATTGTAGCCACTGGACACATGTAACCATTTACATTTAGACATAAGTACATTAAATGTAAATTTCAGTTCCTCAGTTGCACTGGCCACATTTCAAGTGCCCAGTAGCCACATGTGGCTTGTGACTACTGTAATGGACCATGCAGAGGACATTTCCGTCATTGCAGAAAGTTCTGTTGGACAGCACAAGCACAGAGCATCCCGTCTCCAGTTAACACACCTACGTGCAGCCTGGTGTGGTAGCTGATGCCTGTAATCCCAGCACTTTGGGAGATCTAGGTGGGAGGATCACGTGAGGCCAGGAGTTCAAGACCAACCTGGTCAACATAGCGAGACCCTGTCTCTACAAAAAATTAAAAAATTAGCTGGGTGTGGTGGCATGTGCCTATAATCCCAGCTACTTGGGAGACTGAAGTGGGAAATCACTTGAGTCCCAGAGGTTGAGGCTACAGTGATCACACCACTGCACTCTAGCCTGGGTGACAGAGTAAGACTCTGTCTTTTTTTTTGAGACGGAGTTTCGCTCTTGTTACCCAGGCTGGAGTGCAATGGCGCGATCTCGGCTCACCGCAACCTCCGCCTCCTGGGTTCAGGCAATTCCCCTGCCTCAGCCTCCTGAGTAGCTAGGATTACAGGCACGCACCACCATGCCCAGCTGATTTTTTATATTTTTAGTAGAGACGGGGTTTCACCATGTTGACCAGGATAGTCTCGATCTCTTGACCTCATGATCCACCCGCCTTGGCCTCCCATAGTGCTGGGATTACAGGCTTGAGCCACCGCACCCGGCGACTCTGTCTTAAAAAAAAAAAAAAAAAAAAGACATCAGTATGCATTGCTTTGCCAACACTACCCAGGTGCAGTGAGCAATCAATAATACAAGTTTTATGTTAATGAGTCAGTTAAATTTTTTTTTAAACCTACTTATTTTTGGTGTTTTTAGTATATGCACCAGGCCTTTCCTTTCTCATTCTGTAAGCTGGTTATTTTGCTCATTTGAAAAGGAGGTTCTTGAGAATGAATGAGATGAATGAACTCATCCTTGGTAAATGGATAATATGTAGGGACAGGGCCTTTGCCTCAGGTTTTTTTTTTGTTTTTTGTTTTGTTTTGTTTTTTTTTTGGGAGACGGAGTTTTGCTCTTGTTACCCAGGCTGGAGTGCAATGGCGCGATCTCGGCTCACCACAACCTCCGCCTCCTGGGTTCAAGCAATTCTCCTGCCTCAGCCTCCTGAGTAGCTGGGACTACAGGCACGAGCCACCATGCCCAGCTAATTATTTTTTTGTAGTTTTAGTAGAGACGGGGTTCCACTATATTGACCAGGATGGTCTCGATCTCTTGACCTCGTGATCCACCCGCCTCGGCCTCCCAAAGTGCTGGGATTACAGGCTTGAGCCACCGCGCCCGGCCTGCCTCAGGTCTTTAGATCCCAAGTGCCCTCCTGGTTTCAGCACCTCCAGCTGCCCTCCTCCCCATAGGACCAACATCAGGATCATCACCACCACCGGGCATTTTATTCCCTGACAAGTGGTGAAGGCATTCTTACCCAGAAATAACTTCTCCTTCTGTATCTAATTTGAGACAAATGCTTCAGAATTGTAAAAACGAAAGTAATTTATTCACGAGGTAAAGCAGGTTTTCTATTGAAATTATTCATGCTTTCTGTTTCTACTTCTAGCTTGAGCAATTTCGGACCCTGCTTTTCACTTCCGAGGGGGAGAAGGAGAAAAGAATGGTGGACAACTTCCGCCCCCTTCAGCCACTGATGAATCGCACTGTCCGTTCATCCTTCCAGCACGATTATGTGCTGAACATACAAGCGAAACCCAAGCCGGCGACCAGCCAAGCAACCCCCTAAAACGTTCATACCTAGGCAGTATTTTGCCTTTGCTTTAATATACACTAGCTTACTAAAAATTGTTAACTAGACTATTCTAAATACCTGCATTTGATAATATTTACAAATGTGCATTTCTTAGCATGTGAGTGCTTCATCAGTCTTTGAGCAAAGCTATTCGGTACCAGCAAGAGACACAAGTTTCTCTTACAGCTACCTGTTAGTAATTGTAATGCCTTTTTTTTTTTTTTTTTCAGACTAGGTCTCACTTTGTTGCCCAGGCTAGAATGCAGTGGCCCAATGACAGCTCACTGCAGCCTTGAACTCCTAGGCTTAAGCAGTCCTCCTGCCTTAGCCTCTGCAGTAGCTGGGGCTACAGGTGCTGACCACCTGGCCCCGCTTGTAATATCTTTTTATATCTGACATTTTTGAGCTATCTTTTTATGTTTATCCATTAGTGGTTCTATAGTGCTATACGTAGGGATTATAATCAAAATTTTTAACAAGTGGTAAGGCATAGACATTGACCAGAACTCAGGCCTTTCAGAAACAGCCTGTGGGCCCAGACTGGTGCTTCCTGGCTGAACATGAGTCATGGTTTAGGTGTATTTTATTTCATAACATGAATGTGTATTCTTTCATAAGGGCTTCTCAATGAGCATATTTGCCCCAGTCTTTAATTGTTATAAGGACATGATATGTTTACTTACTATCAATTTACGATGTAGAAAAAAACAAGGACTTTTCCTATATCCAGAAATACCTTTGCACTTCTGAAGATCAGATATTTTACTTAAAGGTCTGATCATATAGAAAATACATGCAGAACATTTTAAAGAAAATGCTTGGCCAAGTACGGTGGCTCATGCCTGTAATCCCAGCACTTTGGAAGGCTGAGGCGGGTGGATTACTTGAGGTCAAGAGTTCGAGACCAGCCTGGCCAACATGATGAAACACTGTCTATACTAAAAATACAAAAATTAGCTGGGCATGGTGGTAGACATCTGTAATTCCAGCTACTCAGGAAGCTGAGGCTAGAGGATCGCTTGAACCCAGGAGGTGGAAGTTACAGTGAGCCAAGATAGTACCATGCACTCTAGCCTAGGTGACAGAGTGAGACTCCATCATGTCTAATAAAAACAAAAAAAAGAAAGAAAGAAAAAAGAAAATGCTAAAAGTACCTAGAACTTAGAATTCTTTCATTGTACATTTCCAGAAATATTTTTCAACGGTCTAGTAATCTAATAGCCTATAGTTTATAATATTATTTTGTATTATTTGCACACTGTTACATAGTATATAATGATAATCTTTTCTACAGTAAAAAAGGTATCCTGTCTGAACTTTACAACTGTCTGAACTTTATTTACCTATTAGTCAAGGTTCTTTGCAAGGCAGGTGATCAACTTAAATCTCTCAGTTTATACAGTAGTTTAGAAGACTTTTGTTATGGTCATAGGGAGAGAAACTTGTCAGATAGGCTAAACTCTAGATGTCCCTGTTGCTGTTGCTTATCTTGGAATGTTTCCAAATGCCTCTAAGCCTATGTTCAGACTCAATGTTGCCTCAATAACTGTTAGTATTTCTTTCATTAATATGTTATCCATCTGGTCTGCAAGATAGGGTTGGATGAATATACTTAACATTACTGAACTGTACACTTAAAGATGGTTAGGAAGGAAATGGGACTACATCAGACTTAAAACTTTCTGTGTGTCAAAGGAAGCAATCAACAAAGTGAAAAGGCAAGCTCTAGAGTGAGAGAAAATAATTGCAAATCATATATCTTATAAAGAGCCCAAATCTAGAATATATGAGGAACTTCTGTAACTCAACAACAAGAAAACCAAATAACTCAATTTTAAAAAATGGGCAAAGGACTTGCATAGACATTTCTCCAAAGAAGATATACAAATGGGCAATAAGAATATGAAAAGATGCTTAACATTGCTAATTATTAGGGAAATGCAAATCAAAACCATAATGAGATATCATCTCACGCCCATGATGATGGCCACTATCAGAAGAACAAAAAAATAACAAGTGTTGGGGAGGATGCAGAGAAACTGAATCTCTTGTGCACTGTTGGTGGTAATGTAAAATGGTGCAGTCATCATGGAAAAGAGTACACAGGTTTCTCAAAGAACTGAAAACAGAATTACCATAAGAATTACCACCACAGTGGGATCTCAAAGAGATATTTGTACATCCATGTTCATAGCAGCATTATTCACAATAGCCAAGAGGTTCTGGAAGCATCCCAAATGTCCATCAACAGATGAATGGATAAAGAAAATGTGGCATATATGTTCAACGGAATACTATTCAGCTTTTAAAAAGAAGGAAATACTGTCAAATGTACAATGTGGATGAACCTTGAAGGCATTATGTCAAGTGAAATAAGTCAGTCACAAAAGAAGAAATACTGTATGATTCCTCCACGTGAAGTATCCAAAGTAGTCACAATCATACAATAGAAAGTAGAAAGGTGGTTACCAAGGACCGGGGGAAGGGGAGAGGGCAAATTTGTGTTTAGTGGGTATAGAGCTTGTGTTGCAAGAATTCTAGAGATCTATTGCAAAGCAGTGTGATTATACTTAACACTACTGAACTGTATATTTAATATGATTAAGATGGTGTATTTAAAAAAACAAGATGGTCATTTTTATATTTGTATTTAACACGTTAAAAGTAAAAAATTAATTTCATAGAGAAAAAAAGATAGGGCTGGAGTTGCACGTATAAGTTTAAAAAATATCGCTTTTAAAAAGGGGGAAATGTGAAGGCTTTTGCATGTATGCCCTAGGAAACGCATAAGATTCTTAAAAATGTAAACATGGTATAAAATGAAATCTTTGTTAACTTTCTGCAGCTCACCTGTTTCAAAGTATAGTTACCTTTAAAAGGGTAAACACAAAAGATATGCATTTTCCAGAGCACACAGGCTTTCCTCCTAACTGCCTTGTGAAACGATCAGTGCAAAACCCTACTGCAGTGAGTTTTCCAAACTGAAGGGAAAAGTAATGTACAGAATGCCTGACATGCCCTCCTCCTTGCATCTTATACCTGATGTTCTGGTGTGATTATTAACCACACTCTTTCACTTTGAACAGTGTCCTGGTTTGCATGGCCACCTTCCCTGCAGCGGTGACAGAAACTGGCTTGAGGCAGTTTCGGTTTCGATGCCTTAGTTAGATGACCCTCAAAGGGGCACAGTAGATTTCCCTGGCTACTGATACACCTTAACAAGAAACTTGTGTCTTTTATACCCTCGAAAGTGTTTTGCTTATACTTTCCTAGACATGAAGGTGAAAAATGGGCCTAAGGTCTGTCAAAGGTCTTGGAAAATAAGCTTGTATTAAAATTGCTGTTCATTTTCATTAAATAATACTAGATCAATAAAACCCTTTCTTTACGATATTAGTGGTTGGTGAAAGACTTGCTTTCTGTTGTTTCGGTATATGTATATGTCTGTAAAATTAATGAGCTATCCTTTAACTTGTAGATTAGAAAGTGACTAAAATCTCATAAGTGTACTAAAGAAGCAACAATGGGAAAAGGTGGCCGATCCTCCTCAGTGCGCCTCTTTCTGTCGAACAGTACAGTGTACAGTCTGCTGATATCACCATATAGGGCAGGCTGTGATCGCCTTTCTCCTTTCCCAGGGCTAAATGGTGTCAAGCAGGTTCAGTGTACACTGGTTACCAACCTGAGTCCAATGTGACAGAACACACTCATACCCCATAAATTACATGAAGCAGATTTATTACTTACAGACAGGAAGCAAGGGACAAAAGAGGCCCTGGCTGCATTGTGAACCAGTTCCCCAGGGCTCTAGAAAGCTGCCCAGGGCAGGGCTGATGGAGTCTTGACTGTACCTGCCCCACTTGCGCCACAGCTGACAGACCCCAAAAGGCACTCTGCCTTGGATTATATACCATAGGGGCCACATCACTCACTGGGCAAAGCTTTAAAGGACATCCTGCTTCTAGGGGAGAGCGGAACACAACCTGGCTGACTTGAACAGCTCCTCCCTACCTCAAATGTTACATTCCCTAAGAGGGACAAGAACAAGGGCAAACTGTTTTAGGCAGTTCTTCCATATCAGGATATTGCATTCCCAGTGCATTCTACAGTTATTCTTAAGAACTACAAGCAAGGAAGAGGGAAGAACTGGGTCAGTCCAAGGCCACCTGGAGAACTGTCTTGCACATGGGTTAGGGTAAAGTTGGCTATTCTAAAACAAGGCATCCACCCAAAAGAAGTCTTGGAAGATGTCTTTCTCTATTAAATTCAAATGATGGTAATTATAGTTTGGAAGTGGAATTGGCTTTTAGAGTTACTTCTGTAATGAAATTAACAAGCAATTCAAGCCTATTTCTGAAAATGAATTCAGTGGTTAATTGTTGAAAATAAATGTCTAACTCCTATAAAAGGAAATTTACATTCATTTCTAACTCATTAAAATATCTACGGCTAGGCACCGTGACTCAAGCTTGTAATCCCAGCACTTTGGGAGGCTGAGGCAGGCGGATTACCTGAGGTCGGGAATTCGAGACCAACACCCAGCCAACATGGTGAAACCCCGTTTCTACTAAAAAATACAAAAATAAGCCGGGTGTGGTGGCGTGAGCCTATAATTCCAGCTACTCGGGAGGCCGAGGCAGAAGAATCACTTGAGTCTGGGAAGCAGAGGTTGCAGGGAGCTGAGATTTCTTAGAAGATATTATTACTTATTGTTCTGAAGTGAAAGTCTGGTCTGATTCATAAGAAATGTTGCAACAACTCAAACACTGATGCTTTCAGAATGGGCAGTAATTCTCAGCATAAGTTCTGATCACAGGGGCAAAATTTGTGACTTTTATAGCTACAACATTCTGTGCCATCCAGGGCACTCTAGTTTGGGTATACAACTGCCAAATCTCCACCCAGAGAGTTTAGTTTTAGTCAAGAAGCAGACAGGTAAAGGTGACGATGTGTACTAAACCATCATAGATGTTATAAAAGGTGGTTTACTTGTGCTAGAAATGCATTTAGTGCTTCACCCCTCTTGAGGGGGTAAGGAAGTTTTCACACTAATGATGTTGATGATGATGATGGTGATGATGATGTAACAGCTAAAGTTTTGGAGGCATCCACTATTGCCAGGTACTGTATCAGCATATAGCATGGGTTATCTTACTCAGTTTTCATAATAAAAGCCTTATAAGATGGGAACTATTATTACTATCTTTATTTTTACAAATGAGAAAACAGGAGTGGACATTAAGAAAAAAAAATTTTTTTTTCAGACGGAGCCTCACCCTGTCGCCCAAGCTGGAGTTCAGTGACGCAATCTCAGCTCATTGCAACATCCACCTCCCGGGTTCAAGGGATTCTCCTGCCTCAGCCTCTCAAGTAGCTGGGACTATAGGTATGCACCGCCACACCTGGCTAATTTTTGTATTTTTAGTAGAGATGGGGTTTCACTGTGTTAGCCAGGATAGGATGGTCTTGATCTCCTGACCTCATGATCTGCCCGCCTCAGCCTCCCAAAGTGATGGGATTACAGGTGTGAGCCACTGTGCCCGGCAACATCAAGGAATTTACTCAAGATCACAACCAACCAATGCACTGAGCTAGACAAGGTCAACTTGGAGGTGAAGGGAACATGTGTTGCCCCAAGTCTGTCAGTATAAGAGGGATTAGGGTGAGGTTTTATGCAGAGTTTGGGCTTCAGTTGAGTAATTCTAAGGAGGGATTAGCAGGGCAGTAGTTTAGTAATTGGGTATCTCAGCAACTTTAACTTGGAGTAGAACGGAACAAACCTAGGCCAAGGAAGCTATTCAATCACTCAAAAGATGGAGGTTGTTAGTCATTTTACAGCTGTAATATATCCTTGCGAGGAACATTTTTTGCTTGGCCTTGTATGTGTACATTAAAGTCTGATTATT